TGCTACTGAGTGCTGACTGATTGTCAAGCTGATCAGCTCATTGACTGAATGAAGAGGTTTGTGCTTAGTGATTCGTGATTGTACATGAGGCACTATTAGAAAATCCTAAAAGTTCAGTTCAAAAAATGACAGCAGCTTTGAAATATTTCATACTGTTCTGTCTTCCCCATTAGAAAAACCAGCTTAGACTAGCATGCCTGGTCAACAGCAACACCAGCAAATGTTGCATTTTGGATGCTGCTATGCCAGTACCAGACCAGCAAAACCAGCATGGAATGCATGCTGGTCTGTGCTGTTTGTTTTTTAGCAGAGTTTAGGAAACAAATGTATTTTTCTATATTAAAAAATATTAAGCACTTACAAACTACAATTTTGCACAAAAGCTCCTTAGGAACCCATTTATTTTGGACTTTCTCAGGAGAATACTCCTAATCCTTCCACAATTAGCTAATCCTGACTGCTAGTCTAGCCACTATGCTATAAACCAATGAATATACTAGGACTGCTACAGTAGCTGTCATTAATCTTTATTCAACACTGCCACTGCTACAGAAAAGGAACCAAACTAAGCTCAGCTAACTTTACCTTTTAGTTTGTCATTTTTCTCATGCAACATTTCTGCGAAACCCAGCACTCTCCATCAAAATGAAGGTTTAAAGACAGTTATTAAGGATATATGACTGCAATAAGAAGTATTCGGTCTCCTAGCAATAGCGTTAGCTTTTTTGCTTCCTTCCTCTGGTGAAAACAACCTGACCCCAAGCAGATGAAGTCCTTCACAATTTATAGGACTTCAACCTTCTAGATGTTTTCAGTAAAACCTGGAAATCCTACGTTAGAGATTACTGTGTCAATGTACGACTTGATTCACACGTCTGACTGATTGCAGCATAAAAGTTTAATCCAGTTTGAGTATTTAGTTTTATAAAAGTCATGAACTGTAGAAGTTGCATATTTTGATATTTGATATTTTTTATCCAGACGTCTATTCTCTAGATGCAGCGCTGCTTCTAGGATGCATCTGGGGTGTGCACTGTCACACTGCTCACACAGCATGTTAATGCTCTGACCTGTTAAGATGAAAAGCAAGACATTTGACGTCACTCATGCCACAGAGAGGCAGTATATGTGAAACAGAGGTTACAGCTGATGTAATTGCAAAGGAAAACCAAGGTTATTAAAGAACTGTGACAGTCTAGCTTGCCTAACACTCAAATAAATTTTGGTCCTCAGTCAAATGGTTTTTCATTTATTGTCATATATCCAGTTGAGGTATAGCTGGTCCCAGTGAATGTTAGTGCCTCAGTTTTGTAAAGACAGCTTGGCTGGCACTGATGAAGGATACAAATTGTTGCAGAATCAATATTTAAATGGAATAAGCACTGAGGTGGCCAAAATGTCAACAACTATGGCATAGTTTTAGGGGCAATATGGCCACTACAAAATACAATCAAATAGAACACAAATCAGAAGTCTGTTTGTAAAATTAAGGACATGCCCAATATGTATATCAGATTTGGGGGCCAATCATCAACTTGAAGCAGAAGCAGACTTGGACTTTTCAAAAGGCCTGTAATGAGTAGTCCTTGCACACACATGAAATTGGTCAACAGAATTGTGGAGATTATGGAACCACTTTACCCAAAGTAGTGAAAGCCCTTAAACCAGTGTTCACCCTGACATCTGCAGCACTCTGTAACTGCAGTCCAAATTCAGAGTCCAGATATTTCTAATGTAAATTGATTTCACTGAAAAAGGTCCATTTTCACATCAAAACAAATAAGCCTCAAGTGGACTCTGAATTACTTGAAACTGAGCCTTTAAACAGAATTTCTTGGTTTTGCTTGAGCAACAGAACATCCAAATAAATTTCAATTCAATTTTATTTATATAGATGCTCTGAACCACATGTATTTTCTCAAATCAGCTTCCTGGACGTGCTTATCCAGCCTTCTAATGAGCATCGCAGAGGGCTAATTTTTTTCTATCAGAAAACTGTCTGGCAGTCTATAGATTATGTAGGCAAACAGGTTAGAAGTTCATGAAGAGATAATGAAGTAATGAAGCTAAGCAAATGTCTTGGAACCTTAATAGACCTTTCCAATCCAAAACCGGTGCTAAAACACTCTAAAGTATGTTCTGTGTAAAAGCCCTGCTCTACAGCATGATCAGTATAGTCCCTGTGAACTTTTAACAGACTTGAATGTTGGTTACAGGCTTGTCCCACAGATCTTTCCCTCATATCATCCAAATGCTTCTATTTTTAATCTACTTATGCAAGTTTCATCCATGTTTCCTTTTGATTCCCCTCTTGAGTGCTGGCTTCTTTTGATGCAAAGTTTTATTTTCCTCATGCCATCTTAGAGAGATTTTCTTTGCCCCTGACAGTGAGTGGAGTCTGGCCTGAATCTCTGGAATTATAATAAGTGATATTAATACTTTGACCTGATGGTGACAGTTACTGTTGCACTGGCGCTAAACCACTTTAAAACTACTCAATCTGTGTGTTATCTTTCTGAAAAGGGCTTATTCTAATAGACAAACTGTTCAGTCTATAAATGTGTTCTTTCATAGCAAGTGCAGGTCTGGACAAGCTTTATAGAATGTTGGTGAAAATCCCATTAAGTCGAATGAAAAACTCAACCTACTGTGTGATTCATTAAATTTACAATTTGATGTCCATTTTACCCAGACAGAAATCATAATTATCTATAACTATGTGTCCTGTAGTAACATACTTACATTTTGAGTCTTAGCCATAATACAGTTCTTCATCTATAGATCAAGAATCCTGTGGCTAGTTGTACAAACAGATCTCAACTAAGACAGTCTTTAACTGCTATGTCAGTCGTAGTCAGTTTTCAGAGGGAACTGTACGCCTGATGTGGAATTAAGACTCGTCTTAGCAGTGCAAATGTTAAAACATGTAACAATAAAAGTTACGAAGCAAAACTATGTGTATCTAAATTGGCTACAGCTAACTTACTATTTTATGCTACTAAAGATGGGGACTCAAGTCAGCGACTCAGACTCAAGTTGCACTCAAGTGGCACATTGACTGACTTGTGACTCGTGTCTCCCTTAACTGACTCAAGACTTAAGACTTTTCAAATTTCAGAAAAAAAACATTTTATGAAAAAACATAATTAAAAAACATTTATTTCACTTCCTTCATGAATTGTCATAACTTTGTGCGCTTACTGCATTTTTTAAATAATGAAATTATTTATTTATAGAGAGGGAAAAAGAGAAGGACAGATTATTATTATTATTATTATTATTATTATTATTATTACAAATTTCCCTCATTTTTTTTTAAACAGCTTGAGGTAATATTTAAACATAGTTTCAAAAATCCACTCTCTGATTCATACAGTCCATACATGGAAACTGTGCTGCAAAAACAGCCCATTTTGAATTCATTGTTTCTGCAATGTCACAAAAACCAGCTCATTTACATATATACACTTACACAGCCTACTGCAATTTAGCCCCACCCATTCACACTCAAGTTGCTCTCAGTGTCTTTTTAAAGAGGCAAAATACAGGGCAGCCATTTAGAACAGAGCTTATTTATTTATTTTTACCAATCTTCAGGTGTAGTAACGAAAACAGCTTGTTTCATTTAATTATGGCCATTTTTGTTCAATAAAATCACACTTTTTTTTTTAAAGTGGACCTTGAGGGAAAAATAAAATGCAAGAAAAAATGTAGGATATGGACCCTTTAATGCAACCCATTATCTAAAAAAGTTCAAACAGAGGTTAACGGAGGAATAAAAAAAAACACAAAAAAGTGCAGTTCAGGGGAACCCCAGGGGCAAGACTGGGAATGTTTTGTGCAGCAAGAAGTACAGACAAAAGAGTGGAAAGAGATCAGTCGGCTTAATGATGGCTCAAATGAGAACTATGTTGTTTCTAATTAAATAATGAATGTGCTAAATTACATAGAAATTAAGTTATAAGGATTAAGGCACCTTGCAACATTCCTTTTATTTCCTCCATATTACAAAAATTACATCTTTATGTGACTTAAAAGAGTGAATCATTACAACCAAAACAAAAAGCTTGAGGGGTTGGACGAAGAAAAAGACAAACTTTTTAAAGAGAGAGCAAGTTTTATGGTTCTTAAAGGCCATAAACGTTATTTGCTAAGTAGATACTGCTCAATCTACTGTTCAAGCACAAAGAGGCTGTTTGTCCTACATTTCACTCATGTGAATATAAAACTGGGTTTTTGCACAGATGGACAAGATAACATTTCTCTTGCATTTCTTTACTGCTAACTCTGTTTCATTACTGTCTTTAAAACGCCCTTGTTGACTTGCCCTTGCCATTTCCCCTTAACTCTCAGGAACAAAGGTAAGGAACTGTCACTGGGGCAGTACCCCTCTTGTCAGTGGGGTGGTACCCTCAAGGGTACATCTCAGTACCTTTAGTCAGGGAACAAAACTGTGTCCATTGAAATTATATTCTCTAAGTTGTATTGACTCCACACACCCCGTCTCGTTCCCAGAGTTTTTATTTTATTGTTCTGTTTTAAAACATTAGGTTATGACAAGGTTCAAATGTGTACTTTTCCACTAGGAAAAAATATTTAAGGTACACAATTGGACTTTAAAACCGCTGTCGTACCTTTGAGGGTACATTTACATTGTTTGTACCTTGATTAACCAAAAATGTACCTGGACAGTACCTTTATTTCTAACATTGATGACATTGACATTTAACATTTTATTTTTGTGTTCAAATGTACACAAAGGCTGAGGTACTTTACTCTACTAGCCAGATATAGTTAGACTATATTTGTATCACAGATAGAGCTTTATACGGTTTATGCTAACGTTTAATTTGTTTTAGAAGGAAACCGGACTAGAAAATTAATTGCAAGTCTCCTATTAACGTCCATCATTTTTGTGCGCCCTACACACTTTTAAGGGTAAGTGGACGAGGGCGTGTTGTAAAACTAGTTGAACGCGCCCCTGCGTATCCGGACGCTCGCCTACCTGAACTTTGCGCCTACGCCTAGCTAGCGAACGTAAGCTTCAAGTTCAACGTCTTAGCCGGTCCCTACTTGTATTTACAGCTGGCCGAATCAGAGAGAAATAATGGCCGACCAAGGACTGTCGGACGAAGCCGCAGCTGCAGCTTGCAAAGATGGGAATCCAATCACTAAAGTAAGACAGTTCATGTTAGTGTAAATTCCTCCACAGACACTCAGCGACGTAGGGTTAGCTAAGCTAACTAACTTCATTTGAATACCGTTAAGCGAAGCCTTTGGTAGCTAACCTAGCTTGCTAGCTCGCTAACTTATCGTAATGTTTTATCGAAATTCCACTTTGCTCCCGGTTAATGGTCTTTCACAAGGAAATAACACATTTATGAGTACTATTAGCTACATTTCATGTTCTTTAGTGGCACTTTGAGTCGTTGCTTTGCCCCTGCTAACTTAGCTAACGTTAGCTGGCTAACCAAAGCCAGCGGTGACGGTTGCCGTTTTAGCTGAGTCATAATTAATTAAAAATAATCTTAAAGACTGTTGGATTACATATCGCACTACTGAATGCAGGCGCTAGAATTAGCTGTGACATTTTGAGATGAGAAGTGGTCACCTTTGTGAGCCCACACTGTCAGCTAAGTTAGTTAGGTTAGTTCCCTTCAGCTTCACTGTGCAGTCAGAAAGTATTGTAATTTGAAGGGGAAGTCCACCGACTTTTCAGAAATTCTACATAAATAAAGTGTAAACAAAGCCATTCAGAGTGGTTTGATGTAAAATCATCCGTGCTAGATAAACTTAACCTACCGAGACAGAATTGTTCACAGTGGTGGTGATAGGAACCAGACATCCACCTCTAAAAGCTCCTTCACAGAAAGTTATTACTTGAATTGGTTTTGAATAAATTGCTTGGTGTCTGAGACACCGTTGTACGGCAGTTGTGTGACGAAGTTTTGGTCTATAACGCGTTTTAATCAGTGTATTTTAACCCATTAATGGTGGAGGGATACACAAAGGACGTTCTGTGGCAAAATAGCCCCCAAAGAAAACGTACTTTTTCTTGACCACTATTTTATCATCATCAGTATTACATATCAGAAGACGTGTAGGTTTGTTGGTGGTTTAGTAAAGAAAATGGCTATGTCTGCATTGTAGACATAAGGCTCTCTGGCTCTTTTCACCATTGTAAAGAAGTCTGAGTCTGTATGTTTCTGTACAATGAACTACTTCCACTCTGAATGTCTCTGTTTACGTCTCAAGGACTGAGTATTCTGGAATTTTGAAAAAAGAGGAGGAATTCTCCTTTAAATGAAATGACGGGCCATGGAGAAGTAAAAGTAGCCAGCTACCACAAACCTATCTGAGTAGGAGTAAAATAGTAACAGGCAAGTAGAAAGCAAAACACAGAGGCACTGAGCCATAGAAGTACAGTGGAAGGTCTTGGTCCATCCAACAATGTCTCAACACATGTTTTTTAGGTGTTGTTCTTCTCTTGCAGAGCTAAGGTGTGAGCAACAGCAGAGTAGTCCAAGTGATGTCACTAACAGAGGAGAATGAAATGAACACAAATAATAGAGCAGCAAGATGTGAAAGACTACAGTGTAACTAAGGAAAGAAGTTGAATCCTTACCTCTCAGTTATCCCTGAGCAGAAGTCAGAGTAATATTATCCATAATATCATATTCTGGAAGTACAGATCCATCAAAGAATAACTTAAAGGGAAATTCCACTTTTCAAAATGTCTGCATAAATAAAGCATTGCAATATAAACAGCGTCATTCAGAGTGATGTGAAATGAAACTTACTGAGGTAGAATTGTTCACAGTGGTGGTGATAGGAACCAGACGTCCACCTGTAACAGCTCCCTCACAGAACCTTATGACATGAAATGGTTATGAATACATTGCTTGGTGTCTGAGACTTTGCTTTACAATAGTTTTGAAAAGGCTTTGGCTTAGAGCATATTTTATTTAATTCATTCATAGTGGAATTGTTATTATACATGCAGGGCGTTGTAAGGCAAAATAGTCCCCAAAGAAAACTCATCTTCATGATTACATAAAAAAAAAAACCCTCAGATGACACGTGGGTTCACTGATGGTTTTCCACAGTAAATGAAATGCCTATATTTGCATTATGACTTTATTAGGCATCACAACACCTGGTTCAAATCACCATTGTTGTAAAGGAATCTGAGCTGGTGAGTTTTCTTTACAACAAACCACTTTATTAACATCTCAGCAACTAAACTATGCAGAAAATTTTAAATATCAGTGGAATTCCCCTTTGAGCACATTAGTGAATGTAACTAGCTGAAATATGAAGAGCTAATTACAGTTAATTAGGTAAGGTTTACTAAAATGTCAAGTTGGGGGCCAAAACAGGACACTAGGCCTATCAATCTGCTCTGTACAGCACTTTTTACAGCACTTTAATCTTCGTAGTGTTGATCTCTTCATCAGTACTAGTATCTTGGCCCTTGAATTGTCCTAACAAAGCCAGTTCTTACTGATAACTAGCTACTGATTGAAATAGGTGAAAGAGAATGTCCTGGAATGGTGATCAAAAGCATGGCATATATTTATAACATTATAGTATCACTGAGCACTTCTAAGCTCATGTTGACAGTGTTTCCCTTTTTGCTGTAGGACTTCATGATGCAGCAGACAATGTTGAGGGTGAAAGATCCGGTGAAATCTTTGGATTTCTACACGCGCATACTTGGAATGACGTAAGTGTCTGTCAGCGGAAGTTTGTGACTTGCTGTCTTTGGGTGCGTGTCCATGCCGCTGTTCGCTAAGATTACAGACTGTTGTGGAATGTTGCTGGCCTTGATCTACTCCCTGGCCGTTTCAAGTAGAGGGTCATTTAATTTCATATCTCTTTTTATATTACATTTTCTTTCTATTAGCCTAATTCAGGTCCTGACATATTTCACAACATAGTGTGTTTTCTTTCTTGATTGTATGAGTTCTTTACAAAACAGAAACTTAGTTAATTAAGAAGTTAATTGAGGTCATGCTTTGAATCAGGCATGTTACAGGAGTTAAGCTTTTCCCATTGTGAAGTTTTGTTACCAACCAGGACTGACAGGTGTCAGCATGCTAAAAAAAATTGTGTGTAATGTTTGGTTTGGCCTAATGGAACCCCTTTTGCATAATTCATGGCCCCTTGAATCTTGAATTAGCTCTTCAGAGTTTCGTTATGTCCCAAATCAAACTCTCTTCATTGGAGTCATCTGATTTGTTTATTCTGTCTTTGTACATAGATCCTCGCTTCACAGCAATAGAAATAGTTGTTCAGAAATTTGACAAATACTTCAAACAATTTATGCAGACACTTCTTCCACATTAGCTAGAAGAAAATCTTGTTTTGGGGTGGGTGATGGTGTTGTTTACTTCAGAGCCAGTTTTGAAGAAAGTCGAGTCTATTGTAGCTTCAGTTATGCACCCATTACTTTTAGGATAGTTTAAAAATGTTAAAACATCTGTGGAAATCAGAGTGGAGGCCCTGCAAACCCATTATATTTATTTATTTATTTATTGATTGATTGATTGATTGATTGATTTGATTGTCTTTCCTTCAGCCTGCTACAGAAATTTGATTTCCCTTCAATGCGATTCTCTCTCTACTTCCTCGGTTATGAAGATAAGAAGGAAGTCCCTGCTGAGGTCAAAGAGAGAACAGCTTGGACTTTTTCACGCCGAGCCACCATTGAGCTCACACAGTAAGAATGATGATAACTCATCTAAAGTCTTCACATAAGAGCAGGTTGTGTATAGGACTGTTATTATTGATTATGTGAGTAATTGAGTAGTTCAGCGGTTAATTTGGCAATTAGTGTATTTTTTTTTGTTATATTTTTGCGTAATTTAACAATAACACCATGGAGAATCTGTCAAAGGTTCCAGAATAGTTTGCTGAAAAAAGATAAAAGGGAAGCCTTTGAAAATACTTAATAAATAAATATAACCCTAAATGGCAAAAAATGAACACAAGTCTCTGTTTCTCAGTGTGAGAAGGACCAGTTAAACATGCTAAACATGGCTTCATTATGACCTGCACATATCCTGTTTATTTTTCATGTTGCAAACTACAAGAGAACATATAGTGTATGATTGATTTTAATCGAGTAATCGCTATAGCCCTAATTTTGTAGTGTCCTACTGTAGATTGGGCTATAGAGACAGATTTTCATCCGATACAGGAATGACATGAGTTCATTCATCACCACTCGCTTCTTGGCTGTATTCACTAGCTTCATCTTGAGTGATTCTCCTTTTGGGAGTAAGCGAGATTGTCTTTCAGATGTGATTCAGTCTGTTTTTTTCTTTCTCTCTCTCTCTCTCTCTCTCTCTCTTTCTCTGTTTCATGTTTTTCTGCAGTGCTCACGGTTAGGTTTAATTTTAGTGTTAGTCAAAAATTGGGGTTTAACATTTTTAGGGTTTTTTAGGGATAGTTTGTTCATTTATGGTCCCAAATATTCGGTTTTAAAAAAGGACAAAGTGGTGCTTTTAAACTTTTTGTTTGGAGCAGCGAAGTTGGCGATCTGGTGCACGAGGAAAAACAGGATTAAGGGGTGTGGAGGGATTGACCCTGTCCTAATGGTGAGAGGTCTTGTGATGAAACGACTCCATGTTGAATTTGCATTTTATAATCTTGTGAATGACCTGGACACCTTTTTCCATGTGTGGGGGGGTGGGGGGCTCATTTGCGAGCCGGATGGACTTGGTGGGTTTGTGGTGAATTTGTAAGGTGATGGTTTTGCTGCATTTGTGCTGATTTCTGTGTGATCTGTTTTTAGCGTTTACTGGTTACATTAAAGGTGTTTTGAAAGTCAAAAAAGTCTCTCTTTCTCTCTCTCTCTCTCCCTCTCTCTCTCTCTCTCTCCCTCTCTCCCTCTCTCCCTCTCTCTCTCTCTCTCTCTCTCTCTCTCTCTCTCTCTCCCTCTCTCTCTCTCTCCCTCTCTCCCTCTCTCTCTTTTTTTGGCAGTAACTGGGGTTCGGAGACAGATGACAGCCAGTCTTACCACAACGGAAATTCAGACCCTCGAGGGTTTGGTGAGTACTGCTTTGAACAGTCACATCATCTGTGTTCCTCAATTCTTCACTTGCGCATCAGCCTTACAGCAACATCAGACATTTCAGCTCAAAGCTCTGCTGTACCTACAATTTAAATGAAGGTCTCTCATTGTTAAAGAGCATGGTGAAAATGTAATCATGACACTTGAATACATGATACTTCATGGTATACATTATATATCACAGTATTTCATTTTTAGCATTTAAGGAGTTGGAACAGACACAGTGCAGCAGTAAAACACTACACTACAATTTTTTTAATTAAATCAAAAACAGTACAACATTTTCTTTTATGTGCAGCACTACATCCAGTTAAGCAAGGCCCTTTATGCTCTTTTGAAATTATGGTCCTTATTGTAATGAAATCCCAATGACCGAGCAAAACTACATCTACAGCACTTGGGAGGCCCTGCTAAATCTCTTTTTAATGATGCATGCAGTTGGACAGTGTGGTAAAAGTTCTGTCAGTTCCCATCCATTACACGTCAATAAACCCAACATCAAAAATAAATGTTTGAATAATGGAAAATGGGAATAAATATTTAGTGTATTTTTAGACCAGACCTAAACAGTGAGAAGTCACACATGGCATCAGGAAATGAGCATCGCACTTACATGATGTTACTGTTGACAGACAAGCGTGCAGCAGCACTAAGGCAGTCAGCTAACTTAGCTTTGCAACTTTGCTGTCTCAGCATTAAAATACAGTTAGATTTAAAATGTAGTTAGATTTAATGCATGAGTTATTTAGTGGTGGTTATATAGCCTACCAAATGCATCATGTGATAATGACTAATTTGTTTTTCTTTGTGGCTTTGTTGCCCACCCGCTTCCACTAGCAGCCAGTAATCTAACTTTCTAAGCCTGTCCCTAGCAAGCCATAACGCCCACCGTGTTAGCCTACAACCTGTTGGCTTTTTGCCAGCTATGACCGTGGTCCCTCAAGATCTGTCGATTTTCTAAAATCTGGGCGCAACAGCAATGTTGCTATTGCCTTGTATTTGCTGTTGTTGATAATAGCTCAGAAACTGTTAGTAAGTGACATGACATTTTTTGTGTTTCAGGCCACATAGGAATTGCTGTTCCAGATGTTTATGCCGCTTGCAAGCTGTTTGAAGAGCAAGGAGTGACCTTTGTCAAAAAGCCCGATGATGGTGGGTATCTTTCTCCTGTGCTGTTCTACCTGAGCAGCCTTGTGTTGTCTTGTTTTGATTTCCAGTCTAGTCTGGGCTTCAAGAGCTTACTCACATTTGGACGTCTTATTGGCAATATCTCAGGTGCCGGGACAGTACATATGTTTTATGTTGCACAGTTTAAGCTCAGAGGATCAACTGGATGAATACAAATCCTTGTTATTACACAAACAGCGCTCTTGCCATTCTGCTAACTTACCTTTTGTTTTCTGAACAGTTGACACGGTGAACAAATGATTCACCCTGTGAAATGTTAAGTGAATTGGTCTTGCTAAAAAATCTCTGTTTCTTTCTTTGACTTAGTGCTTACTTTTACTGCCTCTTTTGCAGGTAAAATGAAGGGCTTGGCTTTCATTCAGGACCCTGATGGCTACTGGATAGAAATTCTTAGCCCAAACAACATGGTGCCTATTACTTCTTAAAGAAGCAGCCAAGGCTGTGTGATCAGCTTAATGGGTGATTTCGATGAAGATACCACATGGCCATAATACAGAGGATGATTTGAAAAGGAGTAACACTCTCATAACCTCACAGACTGCTCTTTTTGTGGAGATCGCAAGCAAGAAGAAATAACCGGAGCGCTCATCTCAGTGTGGTTGCAAAGCGCTGTGGAACTTGACTTAGGGACAGATCTCTACAAATTAGAGCTTACTAAAACTACTACAACTTTATTACTAACCATGCAAACTTGACTTTGAATACGAAAGTCAAGACACAAACACTAAAGTAATTTATGTCCTTTGTTAGCTGTTTACATTGCGTGTCGGTGCAATCAAGAATCAACATATACATGCTTTTTTTTTTTCCAAGAAAAAAAATGTGTAGGTCACATTGTAAATCTCTCCTGATCCACATTAATAGTAGCTATGCTCAATAAAGCAACATGCTGCTTGTCAGAAACCTGCTTAATTTGTGTATGAGTCACTGTTTTAAAGGGATGTCAAGGGAAATGACTGACTGTGAATTTAGTTAATACTGGGGCTATTTGATAAAAGAAATTGGGAATCTAACGAGTCGCCCAATCTTCATCCTCTCACCCAATAACAGAAGAAACTTTTTTTTTAAGTCTATATGTAACTTGAGACTTTCCAGTTTTTCCTTTTTTTTCCTGTACAAAGTATTTTAAAAGCAATATAGTATAGTATAGTGTGTGTGTGTGTGTGTGTGTGTGTGTGTGTGTATGTGTATGTAATGTGTGTGCATATATATTGCCCACCCCCAGCGCCCCGCCAAACACTTTGTAATCTTTACATCGAGTCCGAAGCTTTGGAGTCGACTCTCGATTCCCAAAAGCTTGGGTCGGAGAATCGACTCTTTGTGTGCGTTCTCCCAGCCCCAGTTAATGCCTGTTGAATTTTGTTGTTAATATACTTTAGCTGTTCGCCCATAGTGCCGATGGTTTAACGTGAATGCTCTTTAAAATAAGTAGCCTGATTAATGTTTTTACAGTGATGGCAAAACGAATCTAGAAAAGGAAAAAAGGAAGTTATTGCTAGATTTTCTCCTCGCCACAAGAGGCTCCAGCTACTTTGAGAGGCGTGTTTCTTAAGCTTTTGCCAGCAACGAACTGTAAACACAGCTAACTGGTTAGGTAACCTAGCTCGTTATTTTGTGTCTAGCACGGTTAATAGACTGTATAACATTACCACGTTTTGTGCACCTGAGGTGAAAGAGGCATTGTGAGTGGACTGGACTGGACCCGGACCTTTTCTTTTCGGTAATGTTTTGCTTATTTAGCTAGCTAACCTGCGGTAGTTGGTGGTTAGCTAGGCTAGGCTGAACGACTACGCAAGGTAACGTCAGCTAGACTAGCTAACATTAACTCAGTTACTAACCTCAGCTTAGTAAGGTTAACATAAACAACATAAACTGTGGAGCACGAATACTGGGGTCCTGTGACATTAGAAGCCTGAACCCTCAGGAAAACGTTTGGCGTATTTACACGTTTCGTCTGGTGTTTTATTAGCCGGACTTGTTTCAATGAAGGGAGGGTCCCTGAGGCAGTGGTGGATCCAGAAGTACGTTTTATTCTCATCAAAACTAACTGACTCGTACTCGGAACCTTTTTCTGTCTCAAAGTCTGCCAGGTCTGACCTGAGAGCTGTCATTAGCCACTGTTGATGGAGGTTATCTGTTGTTAGACAACCGCTGTTACAACAGAACCGGTCCGGTCACCTGTCATTATAAGCACGTCATGGATTAAATGACTAGGTTAGCTAATGCGGCCAAAACTGCATTTTGCCATATTAAAGGGAAATTCAACGATTTATTTTTCATTCTCTGCGTTATTTAATCTAGGAAAGTCGTTCAGAGTGGTTTGACTTGAGACGCTCCGTTCTCTGATTTTGTTTACATCTCAATGATTGAATTATGCAGGAATTTCGAAAAATAGGTGGAGTTGCCCTTTAAATAGTTTGTCAAAAACAGTAAACCAATAATAGTTAGACATGCGTTCATTCTTATGTTTGACATAGTAGTCAGTAGCTTTGGTCTTAGCACTGGTGTCTTATGTATTAGGAAGCTGTCTGTCACTTATAAAGCTGTGACTGTTCATATTTTGCCTAATACGCACTTGGCTCCCTTTTGGAGTTGTAGTGGACTTTTTGGTTGTAGAAGCCATTATTTCACTTATGTCTGTAAAAAAGTGGTTCTTCAAAGGTTCTTTGGTAGGGTCTAAGGCAGTGGTCGCATATAGAACTGTGACAACTCAGAGAACTGTTTGAATGCTGAAATTGATATTCTCTATGATGGAAAACCTGTTGTGTATGGCACTTTAAAGAAAACTTTAAGTCATTTTTTGGTGCTATACAGAACCCTCTTTTGCTAAGACTGTGTGGATGGCACGATGTAGGGAGTCGTATGAATCCGTAGTGGGTCTTTCTTTAGTGGAGCCTACACTGTTTTGGTGGGTCCGTCATGTAAATCAGTCTAGGGTATTATACAAGGAGTCATATGAATCTATATTTGACATGTAGGATGCTATTTGGATGTACAAAGCATTGTTTCATCTATGTAACACACTATATTAGGACCAGGGAGCCATCTGTTGTGTCATCAGTGGCACGCTTACTGTGATTATAGCCTTATGCGGTGCTATTAGGATTTCCTTTGGGGAATGTACGTTATTCGGAATGTGCCTATGTAGTTATAGCAAGCTGCAATTTTCCAAATGAATTCACAGCTGTCATGTTTGTGAAACGTGGCAACTTTACAGATGTGACCACAATCCCTTGCGGCGGCCATGAGTGACAGCCACCCTCTTCGGCCGCTGAGCTCCGCGGCTGAGATCGACCACCTGCACCTACTCTCCGAGCAGCTGGGCGCATTAGTGCCAGGCGAGGAATACAGCGATGTCACTTTTGTGGTGGAGGAGAAGCGATTCCCTGCACACAGAGTGATTCTGGCAGCTCGCTGTCAATACTTCAGGTAATTGCCTCAAATTGTCATGTAATGTAGATGGAAGAGTCTTAATTTAGTGTCTATGTGATGCAGTTAGAACTCTAAATTCATCAGACTATGTCTTTGCACACAGTGTAAATACTATGTTTAACTGAATTGCAGTCTATTTACCCTTCCTTTCATGTCCAGATAAGATCCAGATAAGGTTTATCCACGTGCCGTTTACACCTGGTGTGTTTCTGTTAGAGAGATAGAAATCTGATTTGCTTTTCCAGTTGTGACCTGAAAGAATTCTCTTCCGCAGTCTGCTGAAATGATGAGAGCAGAAATTTTGTTCCATACAGTTATACTTTTAATAATAATAAGAAGGGAAGAACCTTTTTTTCTCCAAAAAAATATTCCTCCGTAAAAACAGTAACTTTTAAGGTACGCATAAGTCATGTCAGTATCTGCAAATAGTTGCTTAAAAAAATCGACATCTGCTAGATGTTTAGATTGACCAATATTTCAAACTGATTTGATGACATATTTATTGTACTCTAGGAGACGTCAATGCTGTGCTATGTTTTTCTGCATCTGTAACCCTACAGACGTATACTATATTGCCAAAAGGATTCACTCACCCATCCAAATCATTGAATTCAGGTGTTCCAATCACTTCCATGGCCACAAGTGTATAAAACCAAGCACCTAAGCATGCAGACTGCTTCTACAAACATTTGTGAAAGAATGTGTCGCTCTCAGGAGCTCAGTGAATTCCAGTGTGGTACCGTGAAAGGATGCCCCCTGTGCAACAAGTTCAGTCATGAAATTTCCTCACTACTAAATATTCCTCAGTCAACTGTCAGTGGTATTATAACGAAGTGGAAGCGATTGGGAACGACAGCAACTCAGCCACGAAGTGGTAGGCCATGTGAAATGACAGAGCGGGGTCAGCGGATGCTGAGGTGAATAGTGCGCAGAGGTTGCCAACTTTCTGGAGGGTCAATCGCTACACACCTCCAGTCTTCATGTGGCCTTCAGATTAGCTCAAGAACAGTGCATTGAGAGCATCATGGAATGGGTTTCCATGGCCGAGCAGCTGCATCCAAGCCTTACATCACCAAGCGCAATCCAAAGCGTTGAATGCAGTGGTGTAAAGCGCCGCCACTGGACTCTAGAGCATTGGAGACGTGTTCTCTGGAGTGACGAATCACGCCTCTCCATCTGGCAATCCGATGGACGAGTCTGGGTTTGGCGGTTGCTAGGAGTACGGCACTTGTCAGACTGCATTGTGCCAAGTGTAAAGTTTGGTGGAGGGGGGATTATGGTGTGGGGTTGTTTTTCAGGAGTTGGGCTCGGCCCCTTAGTTCCAGTGAAAGGAACTCTTAATGCTTCAGCAGACCAAGAGATTTTGGACAATTTCATGCTCCCAACTTTGTGGGAACAGTTTGGGGATGGCCCCTTCCTGTTCCAACATGACTGCACACCAGTGCACAAAGCAAGGTCCATAAAGACACGGATGAGCGAGTTTGGTGTGGAAGAACTTGACTGGCCTGCACAGAGTCCTGACCTCAACCGGACAGAACACCTTTGGGAAGAATTAGAGCGGAGACTGCGAGCCAGGCCTTCTTGTCCAACATCAGTGTCTGACCTCACAGATGTGCTTCTGGAAGAATAGTCAAAAATTCCCATAAACACACTCCTAAACCTTGTGAAAGGCCTTCCCAGAAGAGTGGAAGCTGTTACAGCTGCAAAGGGTGGGCCAACATCATATTAAATCCTAAGGATTAAGAATGGGATGTCACTTAAGTTCATATGCGTGTGAAGGCAGATGAGCGAATACTTTTGGCAGTGTAGTGTATGTTATATTTCTCATTTATACAAATGTGAGTAGTTGTACTTTTACTGTCTACATTTTATAAATGTTTTTGTATCAGCATAAGCACACAGGTGCATGAAAAGTATCAAAAATCGGCATTGGCTTACAGTTCCCAAGTTGGTGCATAAAAGAACACTTACTGTGCTCAAGTCATCAGAAACTGTTATTTTGTCTTCTGTAATTCATTTCTGTGTACTGTGGTGATAGAGTCCCTTTAGAGAGGAAAAGATTTCTTATGTCCCTTTAAGAAAAAGAATTTACACTTGGCCCAGCTGCATTTCCGGTGCATCTGAAATCATAGCAATCTGTCTCCAATATGTCCTGTTTGCATTTTTTTCCATGTTAAGATAGGTACCTGATTAGACCAAGATATTTGAAGGGGCTACGTGTAAATAGGCTCAGTGGTGCAGTTGGTGCTCAACACTCATCATACTGTGTCCTTCTTGAGCAAGTTGAAACATGTAAAAAAAGGCTCTGTCCCCCTTACAGAGTTAAAATGGCAAAAATCCAGCACAATGTTTTTGTGATAGAAGTGTGATAGAATTGTTTTTGAAAGCTGTGTGAGCACAAATGTATGCTCTTCAAAACAGGTTTGAGTCATTTTCATATGTGGTTCTAGATCGGATACATATTCTGTATGTGGCAAAGG